GAAGATGCAATCTGCGGCTTTGTTTACGAGTTATTAACGAAAAATATTAATAATAACGCCCGTTTATCGGTCGCGACGCGTCGATCGCCGAAAATCGACCATATAAATATAATGCGACCATAAGCTATGAATACTATGCCGCGCGTTCGATTAGTCCGAACTGACTGCGCGATCGATATACAGGGTGTCCCAAAAATGTCAAATGTTCCGGAAATGTGGGGTAGCTGAGGTCACACTAAGTAACTTTTTCCTCTGCAAAAATGCAATCTGCGGCTTTGTTTACGAGTTATTAACGAAAAATATCAATAATAACGTCCGTTTATCGATCGCGACGCGTCGACCGCCGAAAATCGACCATATAAATATAATGCGACCATAAGCTATGAATACTATGCCGCGCGTTCGATTAGCCCGAACTAGCTACGCAATCGATGTACAGGGTGTCCCAAAAATCTCTCGCATTACGGAAATATGGGGTAGCTGAGGTCACACTAAGTAACTTTTTCCTCTGCAAAAATACAATCTGCGGCTTTGTTTACGAGTTATTAACGAAAAATATACCGCATGTATCGGTCGCGACGCGTCGAGCGCTGAAAATCGGCTCCCAAAATTCCGGCGAAATCGAGGAAATTTAATCAACGAAACCGAAACTAAAAAGTCGCGAATTCGTCGCAGCTGTCGATGCTTCCGTTCTTTCGCGTTCCAAGCGTCCTAGCAGAATTCGTTTCGAATCCGTCGCGACGAGCATTAATTTAAAAAAAAAACTGGTCGCAAAGTGTCAGCCACGTGCGAGCGACGCGGCAACGCGACGCGTCGATATTGTTATTTATCGCCGGCATCAGAATTTTCCCCGCGTTTCCATTCATTTCTCGCTTCGTCGCTGTTTCATCGCGGTTTCCCGGAAAACTGAGCCGCCCGGAAGCACGGATGATGTTGCAAATTCGATATTAAACGCGACAATGTTGCCGCGAAACGGCTTCCGTGCGCGCAAGAAAGACTTCGCGCCGTAATCGGTACACCATTTTTACCTCATTAAGTCGCGTCCGTTGCGCAACCGTGTCCTTTGACTTCTAATTACCATTTCTACGATAATGCCGGCGACGAAACCGGACGTGTCATAACCGAAATACTTCGGGAAATCGGGAAATGATTTAGCGCGTTTTGTGCGCTGGCCAGCGTGTTCGATCTGAAATTCCGGAGAAAGCTGCGTCGCGTTTAGCAGAATGTTACGACCGTGGAGACCGTTGTTAAAACAAATACCGACGGAACGTGTCGATTGCTTCACTTTGAGTAACGGAGACTGCGGCAGAAACATACGGTCAGCGATTTAGCCGAAGTGTTTATCCGCGTCGGGCACAGAAATAGTAGAGGTTAGAATGCGATCGCGAAGATTTTTCACTTGTTTCGTTGTACAATAATGTCTCAGTTAGGTGCATTACTAAACATATCCCAAATGGACAATTTGGGAAGAGGAGACACGATTATTATTTATTATTATTATTATTATTATTTATTATTATTTATTATTATCGGTAATAATAAATTTTTAGAATCGGTAATTATGAAAACGAGGCGCAAGACTCAATTTAATCGTATCTCCTCTTCTCAAATTGCCTATTTTTGTGGACAATCTGAGCGTCACAATTAGAGAGACATTTCTGTATTTATTTTACTTAGAAGCGTGCGATCTGCGTGCAAAGTCGCGATTCCTTCAGATTTCACTTCGAAATTTTAGATCGCTTGGCAAGGTTATAAAACGGTTAAAGTAATGTCTCTCTAATTGACGCTCAGATTGTGCATAAAAGCGGACAATTTGGGAAGAGGAGATACGATTATTATTGAGCCTTGCGATTCGTTTTTATAATTGTTGAGAATCGGTAATTATGAAAACGGGGCGCAAAACTCAAATTAATCGTATCTCCTCTTTCCAATTTGTCCATTTCTGTGGACAATCTGTGCGTCAATTAGAGAGACATTAGTGTATACTTATTCGTTTGCCTACGCTTTCTACGATTAACGTTAGATTTACGGAGCACGAGAAACAGCTGTTTTATATTAGTTTATGAAAGCAGCAATGAGACATTTATTCTGATTTTGAACGAGTGTTGTTGCAACATTTGCCGCAAGTAACATATAAATTGAATAAATAACTCGTAAATGTATCTTTACGATATGAATGATCGCAAATTAAAAGAATTAGTGGCCCGTCATTTTGACGGGTTCCATAAATCTAGTATTAATATCTTATTTATTTAAACACTCGATATTGCCTTCAGGAATATAAACAGCAATTTGACAAATTATTATCTGCAGTCTGCGGATTTTATGCAATTATGAGAGAAGCGAGTAGATCAAATTTGAAACGGTGAACACGTTTGTAAAATTTAAAATTAATTTAATAATAAAAGCTAAAACTTAATTGAAATTATTAAGAGAAGAAATAAATGTCCACTAAGCTCATATATCTTGCAGTAACTAAACGCAATTTTTATTTTGCATAAAGATCAACACGATCTAATTATCAGAAATTAAATAGCCCAATAAAAATTAAATAGCCCAATAGATATTTATTTACCCTATTTATTTACCTATCTCTCAGCCAACGCTCAAATATCTTCCGCCACTTGCTGCTAAGATCGACTGCAGATCTCGCCCAGATCGCCTTTAAATGATCTGCGATTGTTAATCGCGATCTCCCCCCTCCCCGCCGGCTTTATCTCGCCCGAGATAAAAGCCGGCACCGTGAACCGACCGCTACGCGGTCGATACAGGAATAAGATCGTATACAAGCCTGGAACGGGACAATCCGCGGGCAAAGCGCAGAAAGCAGCGCGCAGGTACGCGCAAGATTGGCCCGGCGCGAAGGTCGAGAGAGCGAAAACAAAAAAAAAAACGGCGGAATTCAACGACGCGTTAGAATATCTGATTAGCCGTCGTCGCCGTCGTCGCGTCCCTCGGCGAAGCCCCGTGAGTGACGGTGGCGCCGCTGGTCAGCTGTGTTTATGGAAAACGCGACAGAAAATCCGACGTACCTTTTGTTTACGATGCCGCGAAACGCCGTCGCTGGTCCACTTCCACGCGCGCACACACTGAATTCCGCGTTCCGGGTCGCGGTGGTACAAACAATAATCTCCGCGCGGCGGCACACGTAACTCACGCGTAACCCACACAGCCGGTCGGATCGAACTGAATGGAATTTGACGATTGCGCGCGGGTTCCTGCGGCTTCCCGACGCTGCTGCGCGGCGCGGCGCGTCGCGTGGCGTCGCGTGGCGTCGCGTCGCGTCGTAGCGCGTCGTGGCGCGTCTTCTCGACGGTTCTCGCGCGACGGTTCTCTCTGTGGTGTCTCTCCAAGGACGGAATAACGGTGCCAGAAGCATAAGCGGGACGCGCCGAGCGGACTCCGACTCCTCGTCGGTTCTGCGTTTCGAAACTGCTCGCCGTTGCTCGTTTAAAGGGCCGAGAGAGAGAGAACGGACGGACGGTCAGGACTCCGAGACGGCGAATTAGGGGAATTATTATAGTGTGCCCGGCGACTCGCGTGGACGACTGCTTAGGAGAGCCGCTGTGCCTCGCCTCGCCGAGAGATCGCGGTGAACAAGGCGGTTGCGTGTGTGTATCGGGTCTAGCTTGCCGTCGGTATTTGGTAACGATGTATACATAAGTGCCTCCTCCGCGTTAGTATGTAGATATATGGCTACCAGCGTGCGCGGAATCGCGCGAGAGTGGGGCGTCTGCGCGCTCTCTCGTGGGCGACCTTTATTTGCATTGAAATTAGTGCGCGGGCGTATGGCTACGTGTGGTGGTGGCCGATCGTATGCACAGCCAACGGAGAGTGGATGTGTATACGCCGCCGTCGCCGCCGCCGCCGCCTTTTCATTCACTTTTCTTTTATACCACGGCAAGGTTCGGCATCGAACATTTCTAGCGGAAACTGTTCTCACGGTTGCAGCGGTTCTTTGGGCCGTCGCCGCCGCGGCTCTCGCGGCGTGGATTCTCGATTGTTTTAGAGTGACCGGAGGCAAACGTTATATTGTAAATAATTTCTTTTAAATGTTACAGTAAATTATTCGGTTTAAATGTTGCAGTGAATCATTCTATTTAGCCCTTTGCACTCGAGACTAATTTAACTGCAATATGAAGACATTTGTTTCAACCTACAATATTTCCACTTGTTATGATTGTTTTTATTTCATACTTGTGATTATTATATATTATTATTATATACATGATTATTATTATATTATTATTATTATTATTATTATTATTATTATTATACATGTGATACATTGAACGTGTACGATTATAGAACGCTTCTATTATTTGTTAATTTATCGAATACAGATAAATTTAATAATATGAAGATTCTTTTGAAAACAGTGTAGCAGCTTTCAGCGTCGCCTCAGAGGCGCCATTCAAGTGCAAAGGGTTAAGTGTTGCAGTAAAGGATTTCATTTGAATGTCATAGCAAATAATTTCATTTAAATGTTACAGTAAATTATTCGGTTCAACACTAAAGCTATCGCGGTCAAAGTGACCGCTTTCTTATTTTGCAATTCTGCAAAGTTTCCGAGACTTTTTCGTGGAGAACGCTTAAATAAGTTGTATTATTCGTTTAGTGATAAATGTTGTAGTAAATAATTTCATTTAGTCCTTTGCACTCGAGACTAATTTAACTGCAAAATGAAGACATTTGTTTCAACCTACAATATTTCCACTTGCTATGATTGTTTTTATTTGATACATGTGAAATTGAACGTGTACGATTATAGAACGCTTTTATTATTTGTTAATTTATCGAATACGGATAAATTTAATAATATGAAGATTCTTTTGAGAACAGCGTAGCAATTTTTAGCGTCGCCTCACAGTCGCCATTCGACTGCAAAGGGTTAAATGTTGCAGTAAAGGATTTCATTTGAATGTCATAGTAAATAATTTCATTTAAATGTTACAGCAAATAATTTCATTTAAGTGTTGCAGTAAATGATTTCGCTTCAATGTCACAGTAAATAGTTTAATATAAATGTCGCAGTAAATATTGAACATATAATACAATTATAATTCAAATACACACATTCGTACATAAATGCACGGTCGACCCTTTGCACTCGGTGTTTCTATCAGTAGAAATAACAAGATTGCTGATAACTGCTTTGATAACACGTTGTATGTCATAATTCGACGAAATTGTAATTTATGTAATCAACATCCTGTAAAATATAGCATTTATGTATCCATTCGAGAGAAAATCATGGAAACGTGGAATCGTGGAAAGTCAATGCGAGATTTTCGGACGTGTCTTTCGTTATTTGTTGCGATTTCGAAGGTGCATCGACGAGAGTGCATCGGGTTGGTGCCCGAACAGGAAGTTTGTCTCTGTAAAGAGAATAGTAAACTATGGGTTTACAAGGGTTTTTCAGATTGTACGATGGAACGCGAGCGATCCAGCGATTCTAGGTCGAAGCAATTAGCGTCGGTTTAATTGCAATTTTTTCGACTCGAATGATCTAGTAAGACAGACGGGAGGAACTTTCGAATTCCTCATGTTTATTCATTTTGTACGAAGGTTTAGGTTCAGGACACAGTTGTGGCACACACCTGGGATGCAAGTTCGTAGTTGCATCGCTGTTTGCAAGTTAGAGTAAAACCGGGTCTTGCGTCACCGTGGCTGCGTTGTCGAACAGAAAATGGTGTTAAAGTTCGCTGGCCATCTTGGTCAAGATTTCCTGAAACGTTCGATTGTTCGTCGAAGCATCCGCTGTTACTTAGCACTTATATACTCTGAATATTGGAATTATTTCAACGTAATCAGTCACTTAAGCAAAAAGGTTTAGCATAAATGCTAGTATAAAAATTCCATTTATAACGAACACTTGTTATTTAACAAGCGGTAAACAGATTTTTACAAGTTATCATTTCAAAAACAATTAATAAAAATTCGCGTCTTTTAATAAATACAAATTCGGTCATTTTGCAATGATCTTTAGAAGATTTTCTGTTAATTTTTCGTGGTTTAAAAAGATCAAGAAATTTGTTATTCTTTCTGGAAATACGCGACGTGCAAATCGATTTATTATTTTATCAATGATGCAGATCATTTTATTTTTTAATCTTCTCTGATCTCGTCAATGTTTTTCGCTCTCATAGAAGTAATTAAAAAATTTATTATTAAATTTATTAATGTTTTACTATTATTACTATTATTAATTGCGCCAAAAAATAAATCAAATTATGGGAACGAGGGACCATTGTTAGCAAAATCTCCATTTATCAACAACGTAGGTGCAATATCTTATTAAATGCGAAATAATGTATTAAATATAATAAAATATTGCTAGAGAAAAAAAAATCATACGTTCCTTACGATTACAAATAACACCGTACGTAACATCGATTCGATTTTCTGCGTCTAAAATGCATGTCTAAAGAACCGAGATAGTCGATTAAATCGTTCCGAATCGAAATTCGAGTTCATTGGAATCCGCTTCCTGATGCCTTGTACTATCTAAAATTATCCGGGCTCGTAGAGCGAGTGTCTATAAATAAACAAAACCGTTCGAGAGTTCGTCGACGAAAATAACATTGTGATCCTAGGTCCGAGAAAAATATGTCTCAATGAAACGAACATTTTATTGGGTTGGCAACTAAGTAATTGCCGATTTGTTCGATGAAATAAAAAATTTCTTTTTACTTGGAACGAAGATTAATCTGTAATGTATTTTCCATTTTGTTCGATGAGCTTTTGCCATCTCTCTGACAACTTGAAAATTCCACGCTCGTAGAAAGTCTGATCCTTTTCGGCCAAAAACTGAGTTAAGTGAGATTTTACAGCGTCATCATCGTTAAAAGTTTTACCACGAAGGGAGTTGTCCAGGGATCGGAATAAGTGGTAATCCGATGGCGCGAGATCAGGGCTATATGGTGGGTGTAACATCAATTCCCAACCAATATCCATGAATTTTTGCCGAGTGGACAAAGACGTGTGCGGCCTGGCATTGTCCTGCTGGAAAATGACACCTTCACGATTGACCAATTCTGCTCGCTTTTCCTTGACTGCTGCATTCAATTTGTCCAGTTGCTAACATTCGCGGATAATAAAAAATAACATAATAATAATAATAATAATTTTATAATATCACATTTACGGATATCATAAAAATGGGAGTGAGAGACGTCTATAACTGAAATCGGCAATTACTTAGTTGCCAACCCAATATATAATATCTATTTTTATATTATATTTTTCTATACAATATATCTAATTTTATATTATATTTCTCTATATAATATCTAATTTTATATTATTACTTGCCAACCCAATAGAATCCATGTTCGAATGAACTCAAAGCTCGACGTAGTAATTTGCACGCATCGTCGAGGAGTTTGTTTGACCGCGTGTAAAACGACATGTAAACGCATGCGACAGAATGTACACGTCGAATGCGGAATCGATGGAATCTTCTCGATAAGGTTCGCGTTAGCCCGTCGATCTATGAAATCTGCGCGTCGATTCGCTTCGCACGCGTAATTGCTGTACGACGATATTTTTACGACACCTGCGATTGATCGTCGAACTTCGGCTTTTTCTACAAAGAAACCGATAATTTGTTCACGCGTTTCAATGTCGATTGGCTAGCGCGTAGAAATATGACTCGTTACATGAGCATCGTGTTTTACGGTCAACGAGAAACAGCCGTGAAAATCTATGCGATGAAAATGCAAATGTGCTGAAATTAGTGTCTCCGCAATGCTGTTGACGCGTTTCTGGTATTTACCAATTATCGCGTCGTTGATTTATGCGCGTATATTGCATCCCGAGATAAGATCGTATATAAAGTGGCATATTAAGACTCCAAAATTTTAGCTTAGATACATTCACTGTTGGATACATCGAAGAAGAAAAAAACATTATTCTACATCGACTTGGTTATAACATAAATCTGTTCATTTGCAAGTATAATGTAATCGTTAGTCCACCAATTATTCATGCAAAATGGAAGATTGTATTCAACGATTACTGTTAGTTGAAAATAACGTAGAGGTGTTGTTAACGCTATTATAAAATATCAGATATTATAACAAAAAATATAATATAAAAATAGATATTATATAGAAAAATATAGTATAAAAATAGATATTATATAGAAAAATGTAATATAAAAGTAGATATTATATTGAAAAAGTGACTTATGCCACTTTCAAAATAAACGGCTCAATTATAAAAACGAGCCGCATGGCTCGAATAATCGTATCTGCTCCTCCCAAATTGTCCATTTTTGTGCGCAATCCGAGCACGAAATGGAGAGAAATCACTGTCGTCTGTCGCTTCGATCGCGATAATAATCGCGTTCGTTATCACGGTAGAAAATGCGCAGTCCACAGAATATATTTACGATTGGAAAAACCAGCCGCATAATCTGGCCACGTGACTCTACGGTATCGCGTAGCTGGGGTCTCGGGTTCGTCGCGTCCGCGTTCATTAAGAAACCGATCGGCCATGTTTCAGTTCTTTCAATAGTATCGGTTCGTGGAAAAGCTGCGCGGCCGCGAGCAAAGAACCTCGTAACTTTCTACTTGGAGGCGATCCTTATGAATTTTCATGATTTACCGGAATCGGCAGCTGCTTACGCGGAACCAGGCTACGCCTTCCACGATTCCAGTCTCGGCACCTGTTACACGGAACGAGTCCCTTTTAAAAGTCAAATGCACGCCGAGCGTCGTACACCGTTACTCTTGACGGCGAGCTACTAATAGTCACGGTCGATTGTTTAACTTGTTTGCCACCTACGATACCGGGAAGCCGCGTTCACCGCGCAAGCTTCAACGATCGCGCGCGGCGATTCAAGTATTAGGTCTACCGGAAAGTTCTGTCCGTTTTTTAATTGAAATATAACACAATTTTCATACGTTTAATAATATTTATTGTAGAATATACTTTCCATCGTTACTTACGACTTCTTGCCAGCGCGATGGCAACTTGTAAGTGCCATTTTTAAAAAATGATTCATTTTTAGAGGCGAAGAACTCAACTAGTGCTTGGTTGACATCAGCCTCGGTTTTGAATTTTTTTCCTGTAAAAAGTTTTGCAAAGAGAGAAACAAGTGATAATCGGAGGGTGCTAGGTCTGGGGAGTATGGTGGATGCGACAGAATTTCCCAGCCTGGCTCTGCGATTTTCTGACGAGTCGCCGAAGCAGCATGTGGTCTGGCATTATCATCGGTAGCCATGTTTTCACGATCGCGTCTCGCTTAATAATGACACGAGACATCTTTGTTTCAGTTTATTTAGGAGAGTACATGTGTGTAAATGCAATGATAAAGAGAGATAGTCATACGTGTCTCAAATCAACATGTGCATATGGATTGAAACTTGAAGTGACACTATCGGGCAGAACTTTCCGGTAGACCTAATACTTTTTCATGGCGAACCGTAGAAGATAGGACAAAACCGGCGCGGCGCCGTCTGTTTGCGGAACACTTAACCGAAGGCTATTTCGAGATATGAATCAAGGTTTTAGGATAGACACGGAGTTTCGTGAAGGATGTCTAAAATACAGTTCAATATGCAATTGGAAACTCTATTATTCGAATTCAATGAAATTGTATCGAATTCTATTTTCAAAGTTTCCAATTGCATAGTAAATGAAAATATAAAAATAAATGTACAGAAGAAATGATTATTATTCGAATTCTATGAAATTGTATTGAATTCTATTTTCAAAGTTTCCAATTGCATATTAAATAAAAATATAAAAATAAATGTACAGAAGAAATGATTATTATTCGAATTCTATGAAATTGTATTGAATTCTATTTTCAAAGTTTCCAATTGCATATTAAATAAAAATATAAAAATAAATGTACAGAAGAAATGATTATTATTCGAATTCTATGAAATTATATTGAATTCTATTTTCAATCATTTCTTCTTTTTTACATTAATTTGTTATACATTTTTTTGATACATAATTTTGTGCACATAATTTTTACGTACATTAATTTTATTTATGCATTTATTTGTACGCACGTATCGAGGTTATGTACTTGAAACAATTATATTTACAGTATTATTGTTATTATATTTACTTATAGTTACAATTATAGTTACTAACATAGTAATAACTTATTTATTTTTTATTATTATTTCAAGTAATAACTTACTTGAAACATTTATTTTTCTTATAGAAAAGCAGTAAAATCAATTTTTAACGCAGTAAAATCATGGAATGTTACCATATATAACATTTGTTTGTTTTTGAACAATCATCGTCGAACGAGGCGGTTTGTGTAACAGAATGTAACGCGCGTCACAATATAGACAGGAAATCGATGACAGTGCGATCGTTCTTACATAGAGAAATATTAATGATATCTGCACAGAACATTTCGAGCACTCGCTTTTCATTGCATCATGCATTCGACCATACATATACATATACATGTTGTGCCGATTGTTTTCCACCAGAAGGTAATTCTGTACGATGTTATCTCCGGCTGCTTGTGTTCTAAGCACATTGTGACGTTATTCGACAAACGCGTACGATAGGATTCTATTTGAAATGGTCGATGCAATTTTATAATTTTATTGTTATTTATTTATAATTCTGTAATTTTCAAATTGACCATTTTTTGTTTCCAAGCTGAGGGTCAATTTGGGAGAATATACTGTAATTGTAAATTAGCATCGATATTTGAAATGATCGATGTAACTTTATAATTTTATTGTTATATATTTATAATTTTATAATCCTCAAATTGTCCCATTTCTGTTCCCAAGCTGAGGGTCAATTTGGGAGAATTTACAGTAA